GGGCTGGGGGGGGGGAGGGGTGTGCAGGAGAGTTATGATGCTGCTGCCAGATGGGGTCTTGTCCCCAACAGGGTGTTTGTTGGCGAAGCTTCATTTTTAAATAAAATACTATATCAAACACAAAAAGTTTCTGCATTGTCTTAATTTATGAGAAGGGCAGGGAACCTGTTTTGAGTCAGTGGTCACTGACCCACAGAAAAGTCAGTTGGGACCACACAGCAAGATGCAATAACTCCTCCAACCCACCCACCCCCCAATCCTCACTAATGTGGCCCAACTGTGCTGGTGGTAGCAGGGGACATGGTACTGGGGAAGGGTGCTAGTGGGTGCTGGGACAGGGTGCCAGGGGAGAGGAGACAAGGTACCAGGGGGGCAGGGAATAGGGCTTTGCAGCAGGGGACAGGGTGCCAATGGGGATAGGGTACCATTGGGAAAGGGTTCTGCATCAGGGGACAGAGTGTTGCTGGGGGCAGGGAATACCTTGCACTTGCCTCCTGCCGGAATTCCTCCAGGGACGACTCCCCACTCTGAGGAGGGAAAGCCCCGATGCACGCCTCTTCTGGTTGGTGACCATGACTCTATATCTACATGACTCTATATCAACTGTTCTCCAACAGTTGGTCATGATCCCAAAGTAGGCCATAACTAGGGATGTTAAAACATGCTTATTTTTGTAAACTTGGAAGTTGGCTTTCAAGCCAGCTCCCGCTGTACAGAAGCGGCGGGGGAGAAAGTCATGTAACTGTAAAAGTTAATCAATAAGCCCAGGCTTATCGGTTAATCGTGTATATGGGTACACGTTAACATCTCTAGCCACAACCAATGTTCTCTCTAATCTTTTCCACACATGTGCAGAATAAATTTTTATGTGTACCATGTGTGAATGTGCACCACCAGCATACATTAAAAAAAAAATCTAGCTGTGGGTACACTGCTAATCAGCTGGTGGCATCTGAATTTCTCCTGAGTGGCAGTAAAAGCACATAGCTTACAGGGTGCACTGGTCACAACCCCATTTTAATGGCATCACCAGGGTTGAGATCTGTGGCTGAAGCCTGAGCTCCACTCCTACCCAGGAGAGCAGGACTTGGGCTCCGCCCAACCTTCCCCTTCCTCTCCAGGGTCATATTAGGGATTTAATCAGTTAACCAGTTAAACATTATGTTTTATTGGTTAACTCCTTAAACAGGACAAACAGAAGGGCTGAAGTGGGGGTTCCTTCTGCTGGCGGAGGCTGCTCCAGCCAGGCTGGAACACCATCTTGCGTGTGGCAGATGGGAGGCTGCTCCAGCCCCTGCCAGTTAACCGTAACAGTAAGCATCACCCAGAAAGTAACTTTGTTGTCTGAAGGAGATGACAGGGCAATGAAATTTGAGGATCCCTGTTCTACATGCATTCAACTGAAAACACAGCAAAAATCATACACATGCATGTAATATGCTGACTTTAAATAAAAACAGCTTTAAAACTATTTAAACTATATCATTCAAAATTTATGTGAATCTCAAATTTTACAAGCAAGCCAAATTAGCAGATTTTAATTCAAGCATTTTTTAAATTTAAGTTATGCACAATCAGAATTTCAGAATGGAATATATAGGAAGAAAATAATGTAAATAATAATGGAAATGGTTCATATGTTGTGCACATTTTAAAATGGATCTCTGAGCTGAAAAATGAAAGTTTCAGGAATTACTTCTTTCTTTTCTTCAAATGATTTGAATTTTACCTGTAACTCGAAGATCTGTCACACTATTAGCCATTTTAAATCCATACGTCATGGACTGAAAATCTTCCTAAATGTAAAATGGAACAATTAGGTGCTTTCACTAAAAACATATGTTTGAAATACAGCAGCAATCCTTTTTCTAACTGTCTGTACCTACTGCAAAAACTGCAGTTATGGTCTTATGCAGCAACCAATGAGTATTTCAGAAGGATAGTTTGCAGTATAGATTCCTACAACCTAGTTCATTTTAATATATATATCAGCATTAATATTCTACTATAGTACTTTCCATCTATGAATCTCAAAGCACTGTAAAAAGTAGTAAAGTATTAAATCTGTTAAAGACTGGAAAACAATCAGCAAAGAGGAAGAGATATCCTGACCCTCAGTACAATATGAGGGAATGAAGGGAGTAGAAGATGTGAAGTGTTAGATCATTGCTGCTTTATCCTGGCCAGAAAATTCAAAGCTAAACAAACAAAAAAAGTCCTAATGATCTAATACACGTGGTTTCAAGAGCAGGCAATTAATCCCCATATTAATGGTTTTCTACTGACCTATTAAGGATGTTAAAATGCAGTTAATTGACTACAGGCAGTCCCCGGGTTACGTATAAGATAGGGACTGTAGGTTTGTTCTTAAGTTGAATCTGTATGTAAGTCGGAACTGGCGTCCAGATTCAGCCGCTGCTGAAACTGATTACAGGCAGTCCCCGACTTACGCGGATCCGACTTATGTCGGATCCGCACTTACGAACGGGGCTCTCTCACCCCGGAGGTCGGGGCGAGAAAGCCCCATTCGTAAGCTGCTCCTGTGCCCCTGGTCTGCTGGAGACCGTCTCCAGCAGACCAGGGGCACCGGGCGGGTTCCCGCGCTTCTGAGGCTTTGCCAGAGCAAAGCCTCAGA